GGCATTAAATTAAACCACTTTGAATCACTTAGAAACGGCTGCATCTGGTGTATCAGATCTTTTGTCGATTTCTTGACCTTATTCATAATGGTATCCACTGTCTTCTTAATTTCGTCATATGGTCCTGTTTCTATATGCTCGTTTACCTTGTAGATGTAGTCAGATTTGTTCATTACAACTGTTGAGTTACCTTTGTCCGATTTAGTAATTACTATATTGCTATCATTTGAAGGTTCCTGAGAGCTTCTCTCTCTGACTTGGGTAAATTATTATTTTTTATTGCTTTTATTTTTGTTTTTTTTTTAAACTTTTCTGTCATAAAATTCTTCATTGTTGTATTTTAACAAAATTAGATTCATCGTGACTTTGTAATCAAAAGATTCGGAAGGAATAAATAGAGTGGGTGGGTTATAGAAATTTTGTCATCAAAATATTACTCAAGAAATTCTAATATTTCGATAATCTCAAAAGCTGAGTATTAAAACTTAATACAAAATGGAGATGCTATGAATCCTCGTTTTATCCTTGAGCATTTTCTGTCTGTTGGATAAGCTTCAGCTATGTTGTCTGCTACATCCTTTGATAACAAATCACTGCTGATGTTAATTCAGTCGATATTACTCTCTTTCTCCTCACTTTTTTCCACGCTACTGTGAAGTGTAACAAATCGGACCGAAGCACATAAGCTGTACGAGGTTTACTTTGATTTTGAGGAACTTACTGTTCGAGTATGATGTGTCAAAGAGCTTATTATCGTTGGCAGATATCTTTTTAGCTGCACCAACCTGGTATTCACTCAAACATACCGCATTTTCTCATGCTAAGTATAGCGTCATTCAGTGTAGTGGTCACTATCGATAGACCTTAATCAGAACACAGGTTTTGTCAGCTATCTTGATCTTCATTTTGTTACTAATCGGTGTACGTAATCGAATTCTAGCAGATGGTAGTTGTGGTCTTAATGTCTTACTAGTGAAGTCTCTGAATTCGTTATGGAGTGACTGATGTGTAAATGCTCAAAGAAACATAGGCTTTCTTGAAGTTGGTTATGCTTCTGGTAGAAGTGTGGCAAAAGGCACGAAATGTAGATCTAGGATTTTCTGACAACTGCTGATGTCTAACACTAGACCAAATCTATACAAAATTACTCAAAATTCCACCCTACCCACAAGGTAAACCAACAAATAAGAAATTATCATGATTGGCCAATCTTACACAACTTCGCTTTCTACACATGCTAATTAATGCGTTTTGTCTTGCCCGGTTATGATAATTTTGTTGGCATTTATTTCTACCGTTACTTTTGTCAAATTTGAACTAGCCAGCTTTAATCGTTTTCATATTTGTCATTTTTTTCCCGGTTGTGTTAGACGTAATACAAATAACTTGAGTTGTCTCTGTAAAATATATTATTCCTCATAGAAAACCCAACTTTCTTGTTTCACTTCCTCATATATGTCTAAATAGGAATCATCCACTCTCCAAATACTATGTGATGTTTGACAGTTTTCTATTTAGAAATGGTAATATGCAGTTTCCTTTGATCTGATTCTTTTATGGGAACCAGCTGTGTTAGCTTAAGAACAAAAAGGTGTTTTTCTAGTAATAAAAATCAATACCTTTTTGGTTTCATGTCCTGTACATATTAGAAGCTTTACATGGTAATTTGAACAATTACAAAACTTTTTCTAACTATGGTGAGGGTATGAGAGACATTTTTTAGCGAACTATGCTGCTGTCTGTTATGCGAATATTCACCGGATGTTGTGATTACTTCACTCTTAAGAAGTCTGAAGTGATATAAGATACTAGTTACAAACTAATTATCCATTTCAATATTACATGATAATAATCTTCAGACATGCTGTTCTATATCACACTATAATATTAATTTCTTACAATATGAAATGCAAACCTGGCACAACATTGGTGCCAAGAGTGCATGCCCTGTAGAAAATAATATAACAACATTAGGAAGACCGATCGTGATACAGAGATGGGAAGAAAGAACGGAAACAAAAACAAAAATGGGTTATTAGGGAGGTCTAAAAAGTACATTCTTAGAGGCGTTGACTACTTTTATTTTACTTCTCAGCAGTAGGTGAATCAAGGAAGCTTTGGCAATATTACCATTAGTTTCGATTATAAACCATGTCAGTTATTTTTTCAGATCACTGAGTGGCATAGTCCCTCAGATTCCTTCGTGAGAGTCTTGAGATGCCTACAGATATCAGCTGAACACAAATATCCTTCATCCTACGACATGACATCATACACTGATCGACTCCGCTCTTCTAGCCCGTCCTAGTTCCAGCGAACAGTCTACGATATGGAAGTCACTTAGATTGGCATTCGTAACAGTTGTTCAATTCATCGAAGCTGGTGTTTTAACATGACCTGACTTAGCGAATGATCTCCATCACGCCCAAACACGTCACCGCACATCAGAATGCTTTCGTGCTGTTTCCATTGGATACCAGCAATCCTATGAAGAAAACAGTGATTGAACATGAAATTCTCGAAGATCCTTGGCTTGTGCAGTTCAAGTTCAGGTCAGAAATGCTGACACCCACTCGTTGTACACTTGGTATTTTACAGCAGACCTAGCAACGCTAGTTGACTTATGTCACCCTGACTCTCAATGTGCAGTTGGAAATCGTATCCATCATACCTGCGGCAGCACAAAAATACCCAGGTATGCAAAATTTTCAACAACTTACATTGGTTTGCTGCCAAACGTGAATGTAGGTATAAGCTCTTCCCAATTTTTTAGAAACACTTTGCGCTCCCATGGTTTGAAGCATATACTTTGCTTACAAACAGTAATTACCAACCAAGTGCGATTTTACTAGTTCGCATTTTGTTGTATCGTAAAACGATGTGGTCTGCATGCTCAAGGTCTGGAGGTCTTCCGTGTGGCAGAAAATCTATGGCGCCACCACTCCACCTTCAAAGCTGTCTCGAAAGTGTCACCGATGGCACAGTGAGGGAGGAGAGGTAATATTGAGTAACCCTACCCGACTCTACTGTTGGTTTGGAACAAAGAAAAAATTTAGCAGCATACCCTCAATCCACCTGAGGTGTATAATACTTTTAACATGTTGAAAAAAGTCTCAAGGACAACCGTCTCCAGGAGAGCATTCCACATCACACACCTGTTCAAGGAATGTAAGGCAAATTTGATATCAAGAAACACAAGTGTAAGGTGGCCTCCAATATCTGTGACTGTGTTCTAGCCTTAAATGAGAAGGAGGGTCAAACATATGTCCACTGTATCCGTGACCCAAATGAAACGCTATTTACTCTTCGTAGACCAGTTTTTTGCAGCCTGTGAATAATTATAGCAGGCAATACTTTAGATGCTAATGATAGCTGACTGGTATCCCAATAAGTATATAATGATGAATATCACACAAACTATACAGACCCTTTTAAAAATGATTTCATTCCAGAGTGATGGAGATTTCCATGGGATCAAGTAGGTGCCAGCACCGCTCATCTATATTTTGTCAAGGTTCAACAGGCAGCCTTGAACATCTGGTTAGTTTGATGTTTATGTGTAACCGGTTCGCTTTCATCAACGTGTTTTGGACGACGATTTTAATGACCAGCAATACGCAATGTGAACTTAGCATACTCTAAAGCGTGGGCAGAGTTTAAACGGGTGCTCCGGAAGGAATGGCAGTCTTGAAAAATCCCACGCTATCGACAGGTGATTGCAATGTGATTTATTTGAGTCTCAGAGGGATTATACCAGGTAACACAATGGTGATCGCTGTGCTGAAATTCGGTACTGACTAGAAACAGGTAGTCTGTTCAAAGCTGCAGAAGTTGTCTGTCATCTGACTTGGAACTGACTAATCCCCACTGGTTGTCTAAACTACTCCTCTCTGGACCGCAACGCCTGATCTATACATCAGCACTACCATAACTGTTAGCTGCACCTAGTAGTGGTTGCTCAGTTGATAATAGATCTCATCTTCAACTACATCTGAACCACAGTCAGCTCGGGCATAAGCAGAGATGAAGGAGAGACGTTCCTGTTACCAGTTACTATTCACTTGGTCGATCCCTCTAGCTTGAGAGTATACAAACGACTGTTGACGGGTATCCAGATGACTAGTACAGCTTCGGCTTTAACACTTAGTCCAATGCAATCACCAACAGAGTCAGACGCGATCGGCACCGGGTCCTTGGGAATGAACACGTAAACATACTTCATGATCTGGCAAATGGGGAATGTATTCAAAGCACTTAACTTCACTAAACCATAGCTTTACGGTTTCCGCTTTTAAGGACTGTCCATCTGATATTAGCTTAGATTTAATTTCTTTTCAAGAATATTGTTATCAGGGAAAATTGGTTACCAATAAACGTTCTTGCTATTCACGTATTACGTACACATCTCATCATTGCTTACAAAATAACTTTTCAAGCATAAATTATTCCCTTAATCGTATCAAGCTAATTCTAAGCAATAATTTGTTCTCGAAATGTTATGCAGTAAATAATACTATATGTCACATTGAATAAACCACTTCTATCCATTCCTCTTGGAAAAGTTTGGATGTTTTTCAGTAGCTTCGTAGTTAGTTCTTTTTATTTCGTTAACACTGGTCACAGAAACTTTTTAAAATTCAATTTATATAGTTTCAGTGGTGTCGGCAATTGTTTCAGTTTTGTAGATTTCAAAGGAAGATAAATGGTGGAATCCAAGATATGCATTTCGTTCTGTTTGAGACTCGTCATCTGGATGTACCGGCACCCAGATGAATGATGTTGTTCCCACTGTGACTAGAACCCAGTAGCATCGCTTCAAACGTTAAAGCGTTATTCACTATCTAACCAGTATTTCTGTTAACCTAGACAAATCATAAATTTTTTAGTAATTTTTCACATCATCAGTTTATACGTTCTGTACAACGTTTCTAAGTATAAGCGTTATTTGAACTCCTGTGCTTGAATTTACTTTTTCTCATTTTTGATTTCTTAATACATAGTTAAGTGATTCCGAATATTAATAGAAATAGGAAACTTTGGAACATTGAAATCCGACCCAGTTCACCACGAGATCAGAAGATTCTGAGTTTAATCCTTGGCAGGGTCGTATGTGCCTACTAGATTAAACAGCCCTCCAGTTCTCAATGTTTCTGCAACTGATGTCAGTCCGCAGTGAATACTATCTAATAAATATTGATTAATAACTCTACTTCTGAAGGATGATCACATGAATTAACTTCATGGTGAGTAATTACTTGTGAGTCAATTTATTCCTCTCTTTTTTTCACATGAATTTTCACAGTTTAATTGAACTTTTAGTTGTCTTATCATAGAACCTTTGATTTTTGTTGTAACGATGTACGTGTTGCGTATTTTTTTTTTCCTTTTTCAAACATGACTTATTTATATGAAAAGTGTCCAGTTGTTTCTTTCATATTAGCTACATAAGCATATTACTACGTTTTGTATGCACACCTCAATCAAATCATACAAAGGTCGACATTATGGATATACACATTTCACTAATAATTAAACAAGTTCAGCTTTTCATGTGACTGTTTGGTTTTCAGGACAGTTAGTCACCAGTATTATCACACTGTAACTGTCAACATAAATCATAAAGTTTAAAAATGTATTCTTAAACAGTCTGTTATGTGGTTACCTTGGCTTAGCAACTAGAGTTTCAATTCTCTTCGTAGGAGTTTTGTATATATAATGATAACTGTTTATTCTCTTTAATAATGGCAATTACATCTAACAGACTCTGGGTGTTTGTTTTTTGTTGACTAAAAGTATGAAATAATTTAGAGTTCACTTTTCAGCATGAATAAACTACCACATCATAGCATACTGTAAGTTCTCATTACTGGATGGGATTTACTAAAGTTTCATTTCATATATAGCCTTTATGTTGATTTGGTTGCTCATTGAAATGAAAACGAATAATTTCCATTCAACTTCGCTAAGCTAATAGTACAGAGTTATGCATCATTCAGTGTCATCATTTTTGAATTGATTCGGTTACCAGGCTGTCTGAACTGACTTCATGAAATGTACTTTGATTTATTACTTCAAAAAAAAGTAGATTTAGTAGATTTTGATAGTCACTACCTTTCTTGGTTTATGCTGATTACTGGAATAGGGTCAGACTGAAAACAGCTAAAGATGGCCTCAACATCACATATCATTAGCTCATAATGTTAATAACAACTGATTGGAACCTTGTAGAGAATTGTAGTAGTATTGGCCGGGTTTATTGAGGTGTTATAAGTCACTGTTCAGAAACCTTAGGTGAAATGAAACAAAAAAGACCAGAATGGTACAAATACCTTCACACTTTATTCTTCGTTTATCTGTTCTGCTTGTTTTTCTTCGTAATATCTTTTCATCTGGCTTGGTTTTCTTTTCATCTGTTGCTGTAAAGCTCACCAATGCAGAATAGAAAGCGGTTCATGTATTAGACTGATGTCATTTTTTATACTTTATAATTACAACAAACGAACATCATCTTAGATGGAATGTTTAGCATCATCATGACTTATGAATTTCCCCAACATTTAACTTACTAGTCATGGAGGCGTAAATTGATTTATCCAGCCTGTTGATAAAATGTCTATAATACAATGTGAAGGCTTATTTTGGGATATAAATCATCGGTAAAACGCAGCTAACACCCTGTCATTTTTCGATCAATAGTTTGAGTACAAATTTATAAAGCATCATAACGTAGTAGAGACAGTTACTCAACGACGGCATTGGATGGAGGTCGCGCCATATCGCGAACTGACAGAAGTAGGGAATGTGAATCATTGGATATCAACCCAGTGGCTGGATGGTAACGTGCTGTCGTGGGACTTAGAGGCCCTGGATTCGATCCCCTACAGGATCATGGGTGTGCACTGCTGAGGAGTCCCGTTCTAGAATGAAACAGTTATCTACTCCTCTCAGGTTTTCGATGGTTCTGCAACTGATGTCAGTCCAACATAAATATCAACTTGAAATCAATAAATACACCCCCAAATTGAATTAGCTTAAAATACCAAAGGAGACATTTCCTTCACTCATGATAGTCATTCTTTAATTCTCTTGCTGAATACAAAAACCTGTTCTCATAAGACCTGTATATAGACTTGTAAGCAAAAACACCTGTTAAGTCTATCTCATACCTTTTGTTCAGAAATTTCCATTTGTATGCAATTACAAAAAGCAGCTCACCTTGACTGCTGGAAATCCATGATCTGCATGATAAGAGGTGGACCATGGGGTTTCATAATTGCGGAATATATACACTCACCAATTTAAATAACTATACGAAAGTAAAGTTGTCTCACAATGCAAGTTCTTGTTTACCGCGATAACCTTCAATTTTAAACCAACTGCAATAAGATGAATTTCTTAGTGCTTACGTATGAATCTTTGTTGAACAAGCATATAGATATAAATCAGTCCACCTACAAATAGAAAAAAGCACTTCATATTACCGCTATTGTCTACTGTAACAAGACATTTACCAGAGGCATAGATGTTGTTTCTTCAATGCACATCTGTTTATAGTTTCATCTTTATGTCCTTTTTATTAGAAAAAGGCCAGCTATTAAAACTATGCAGGTGTACATGTTAACTGAATAACTGTGCTTTTATATTTCTGAATAGGAAGCCGCACATTGTGTGCAAAAGTAATTGCTGCGCCTTTTTTAATTGATGAAGTTGGCGAATCATATGATGCTCTTACCCTTTTTTTCCTCTCTTACGGCGTTAGTTATACCTTGTTTTATCTTGTTAAAATGCCTTGAATAATTATATCGTCACCTAACAGTGTATGTTTTAATAATGACGCCCATCAGCCGGTTCTTAGGTGGAAGAAATGTTTTGCCAACTTTGAAGACTACTTTCCATTGAATATTTTTACACTTTATCCCTACAACATTAAGACCGTTGATTTTAAACTACTTGAATCCCATGATTTCTATGGTATTAGGGATAATTCACTTGCAAAAGTGTATATAGTTGGTAACTGTCTAAGACTAAAGTTCACTTTTGACATTTCTACATTTACCCACGTTTTGCTGATACTGACTTACTAGTAAAAGGTTACATTTTTTGGTATTAACCGACCTCTGGTTTCAAGGTTTGATTGGTTTCTACAATACTCCTTTATGATGCTTTATTGAAAAGGACTTCTCTTAGCAGACTGTTAAAGGGTCATCGAAAGTTGCCAGTAGGTGAATTGATTCACTTTCAACTATTTGTGAGTTAACAACGCTGTGCGAAGGTACGTAAACTCTTGCCGGTTACTTTTATTTTATCAGGTATTGGGCGTTTATCTATTTTAAAGCTCCCGGTATGTTATGAGTCTGAGGGAATTCACGTTTCAAAGTCTAATAATCAATTCAAATATGCCGTATTTGCCAAGTATCTAATGTAGCTAGTGAAGTACTGTGCTGAATGTGGTTCACACCTTCTGCAGCACAAATTAGCTATAATTATTCATCATGGTTACTACCACTGCCGGTATCTGGCATGTTGTTATGATGCTCGATGTTTAAAATATCATGAAGAGGTTAAATAAAATTGCGCTCAAAATGACTCAATTCACATACTATTCGAACGAAATAATAACCACTAATGTCACTTATGTCACATATAAGCTATATGACAGCATGCCGGATACCGGCAGTGGTTACTACTCTTTTTTTATACAAACGTCTTACAGTAATTTGCTTGGTTGTAGCTAACAGAATAATTTGGGACACGTTTCGTAATACTCAGAACTTGTCACCTGGATGTGCCTGCACCCCCAGTACGGAGCGCTGTTCCCACAGACTCGAACCTCCTACCCATCGCTTCAAACGCCATGGAGGCACGATAGCCACTACTTGTGAAACGGGTATTAGTTATTATTGTTTATTGGTATACTTGTAATTTTCCGTTGTTTCATTGGATCAAATTGTTCTATCTCTATGTTGAGGGATCCGCATAGGAGCCCATATACCAACAGAGGTCAAATAATTGGATCCAATGAAACAACGGAGAATTACAAATATATCAATAAATAGTAATAAAAGTCTTATGGTTTCACTATGATGATTTTTGTGCCATCGCCTTTCTCATTCAGGACATTTTATTCTTGTTTTGAGATTATTTGCTGAAAATGCCGTACTGAAATCTTAGTATGTCATGTCGGTTAGATCTATTACTGTCAGAGAAGTAAAACCATCATGTAAGTTAATCTGTATGAACTATGATCAACACTTCACCGAATAGTATCACAAATATTGAGCACTGAGTAAAAGGTTGACATTATATATAATTTATATTTACATAAGCCACAGGATGTTTGAAAAATAAAATCATTCCAACTTTTCGCCTGGAAGTCTGTGTTGTGACATAGTGGAATTATGGGCGTGGGTATAATGATACTGAGACTCAATAGACACCTCAACCGAATACGTTTACGACTGACCTCCCTCAGTACTTCTGCTCCACTGAGCCGCGAAAAATCACAAGATAAAGACAGCTTGTGACTTCAAGAACAACTACAATGACTTTATTGTATTTACAAAACTCTCAGAAAATGAAGCAATAAATGGACCAATCTGATTTGTTGTATGACGTCGAATTTCTCCAATCATGTTCTCATATCAGTGCATACATAAATCATGATCTGAAAACAACTTGTCTATTGGCTGCCCTTTGTCGCTACGTATCAGCCTGCTCCGAGCTTTTTCAGGGAAATAATCAAAAATTATAATATCAAAGATATATAAATGAATCCAAAGACGCGTATTTAGTCTCCTTGTTCACCCCGCTTCTTTTAGTCACTGTCTCTCTAAAATATAGTTACTGATCATTCGGTGTGAAATTGTATGTCTCTGTGGTATGGTTAGTGTGTATATGTGTTGTTATTCATATTCTCCTTGATTGTAAGTACGAGACAAAAAGTCGTAGGTGACATAATCATTCGGTAACTTATAAGTACAATACGGTAAATACGTGTCATTTCGTTTGGTATGTGGGGATGAATAATATTAACGAATTCTTCAATCGATTTATCGGAAAAGAGGGGAAATGAATGGTAGTAATGATGATGACAATAATAATGAATCAAATCAATCTAGATTGTGTGTTGTTGATGCAGAGATAATGAAGTTGAAACTGGTGCTGAAGGTAAATGCTAGAGTTGCTCTTTCTGCTTACTAATTAGTAATTGCCAATAAGGAAGCTAACTGTACTCCATCTTGTC